AGGAAGGACATGGCTCATTCGCACCCAAGTTGCTAAACACATCACAAAGGCGATTAATCGCGCATCAATTTCTGCTCTGCCATCCTTTTTTAATTGAACGAGAAATCGAGCATGAAAAAGATTCCGTGGAGAAAAAAAGATTAATTCTCTGCCAGAGTTAATTAGTGAATGCAAATGGAAGCAGTTTTGGAGCACACAAAAAATGGTCTGCGAACAGAACAAAGGAATTGCTGGCACCTACTTTTTCAACTGATCCGTGAAATGAATTGCTGTGCCCATTTGAAGTTCCCAGTCCTAGGTTATCTTCGCAACCACTGCGCTGACGCTGAAGACATGCTCGCATCTGAAGCGTAGGCAATATAAATATGAACTCAAGGTAAAATATCATGCGCACAACTCATTTGAGTCATAAAAATATACTTGAAAAAAAAACGACGAAAATTATGAAAAGAGCAACGAATATGCGCTGGTAAACCGAAGTAATGAACGCAGCTTCGAGAGTTGGCTTTCAAATTGTCATACAAAAAAATCCATGTTCGCCCAGCATTCAAGCTCACCTTTAATTTTAGCTCCAGAGCCTTGCGTTCACCTTCAACTGTGAAACGGTACCGAACCTAAAGAAGATCTTACTCAAAAAAGCATAAACAAATCAATGAACGTCAATGAACAAATACATACAAAGAATTCCTTCAGACCGTGATCGTTTTTGCAATGCGAAATTAGCGCATATTCTGTAGGAAACTTCGCAAATCGACATCGTTCACATCTGTAAACAATAACATTTGGAACCCTTTCAAACTCTCTGGCAATCCAACACACTCTCTCTTCTCTTCTTAGTTGTTTAGGGCTGAATCCTTCCAAAATAGCGAACAAGGCATCGCAGGGCAATAGGTAATAGAGCCAATTTCTTGCCCGGATCGTCTGATTCACTTTTCTTTAGAATGTGAGAGAGAAAAGCTTCAGCAAGAAGCCGACTATGTCCCAACAAATCCATGCCCTACCTGCTAATCAATTTCAGATGACAAAAATTACTTTATTCCCGAATTATAACATGAGCAATCCCAAATTCATGTTCCTGTCAGAACTGCTAATTTCTGCCAAAACAGCGGCATGACTTAGCTTCGGCAAGAAATACGTAAAGGCTTGCTGCGAATCCGTTGCAAAGGTGTGTCCGCGTCTGCTCAGAGATCTTTTAAGAATTTACTGTAGGTATGATTTTTCGAGAACAAATATCGATATATAGCTCAATTCAAACATCTGCTGAAACCTAGTATCAAAACCTGGTGAGATGTTCATAAAGGAATAAAGAGATTCTAAGCAATTAAAAGAACTCACTCATATGGGCAGTAATTCAAATGGTCGCTTGCAATATGAATTTCCAACTCCTCCGGTGTCGGAAACCTCGCAGAATCCCCACTGCAATCTAGACAAGGATATGACGCGGTTGATATGTGGTTTTGGTTCATCTGGAAAATATGTGGATTGAAATACATGAATGATCGTCAGGGAGAAGAAGTTTAAGCAATATTACGCCGTAATTCTTCCTCTTCCCCAAGGGTATTGTTGCAGCATAATTCACAACGATTACGAATACTGCCGATTATTCCCTCAGGTGGTTGGAAATCCCGAAGGGTGAGCCCGACAAACCAACCTAAATCTAAAGCTCCATTTCTGAACAGAGCTAGTGACCAGTTACATGATTATTGGAAAACAAATATCCCACACTTATACAAAACTTGCGAAACTGCAAATTAAGCAAAAAAGAAAAAACTAAGGATTCGATCTGGAGTTTGAGACTGGAGTTCCTATCCAAACATCACTCCCTCTGCATGCGTGACCAAATTGGTGTCCATTCCAAAAAAAGAGAAGGGGCATGTGGTGCAACAGCTCGCGCCGCCTATAGCAATTTCAATTTCTGCAGGAGCAAGAAATCCCCTGGGTGCGTAAACTATCCAGTCCCTTTTACATCCATATTCCTTCTTACTACTGCAGAAATTCGTATGACTGTAGGCGGCAGCCACTATATGCAAACTACCCTTTATTGTAATAGACTACCAAATTGCTTCGAGAAAAACGTCTTCGCAGCCATTGAACAAATCAGAGCCGTTCAATACTGTCCACTACGAATTACTCGTAATCACGAAAGCAAATAATTCCGTTTCTAACTGCATGTCCTGGGCTGATATACAATACCTGCTGTACTTGCAGAACCACACTTAAAAGGAAGCCTACTCA